GGCCACTTCAACTCCCGGCAGCTCTAAAATAAACTCCGTGTGCAGCACGGTTAGTCACAGGATGAACTGAAGCACAGCACCGTACATTTTGGGGAACAATGTTAAAAAAATGGTGTTTGGCAGTTTACCTTATTTTTCCTAGATTTTTTTTCCACATCACCCTGGGGAGACAGGATGGTTTTTTTCCTCAAAATTCCCAGTTAAGTCCCACACAGCTCCTACATCTTTTCCTGGGGCCTCTGCAGCACTCACCTGGTTTTATCCGAGATGTTCCGGCGTCTCAAAGGGAAGGGCCAGGCACAAACGGGGTCCGGGCAGCCGCAAGCAGAGGGGAAGCGGATGCGGAGCAGAAACAGGATTTACCAACCCAGTCCCCGTCCATCGACATCCTGCAGGACCACGCTCCGCCTCGCAGCCGGGCAGGAGATGCTGCTGGATCCCATCCTCCCGGCCACGGGAAGCCTCCAGCTCTGGGCTGGGAGCAGGCAGGCAGCTGAGCGGGCATCAGGGCTTCAGCCAGAGGAAGCCCCCAGGCCACCGTCCTCGCCCACGCAGCCGCCCCAAACTCCTGCCGATGGGGTGTCCCTGGGGAGGCCGCTCAGGGCAGAGCCGTGAGCGATCCCATTAAAAGCCAAATTGTCGTCCTCGTTTGCCAATGCCTCGCCCTTGGAGCAGCCTTTAGAATAGCTGAGCTGCTCACACCTCGGATGATTTCTCAGCATCTCTCTAGGAAAAGCTGTTTCTTTTAAAGCTGCCGGTGAGCGGGAGCGGAGCACCGGGCCGTCGCAGCCCGACCCGCCGGCAGGCAAGGCAGAGGACCCAAACAGACCGGCACGGGGGTCCCCAGGGCACGGGGTGCTCGTCTCCTCCTTGGCCCTCCGTACGCTCAGCAAAGGCAAATTTGGACTGAAGCTCACGCGGCAGAAGCAGGAACGAAGAACAACGTTGTTTTCTTGTCCTCTGCACAGATAAAGCAACAAAGAGAAACCAGGGCAAGAAATCGCCTTCCTGACTGCAGAGAGGGACTTCAGAAACTCAGAAGCGCAAACACATAAAGCTTCATTGTAAAGGAGACAGGACTAACGAGGACAGAAAGCCACGTCCCGCGCGCTGGCGAGGCTGGGAAAAAACAGCGCAAAGCTGCCGAGCTCTGCCGGGGAGCGGAGGATGCTGCCGGCAGCTCCCTGCGGAGCCTCCGGACTCTCCCAGCTGCGGCTCTTGCAGATGCTTTCTGCACCTCCCTGCAGGCTCTTCACACTAAATTCCAGTTTGTACCCAATTATTTCAGACAGGATTTTTAAATTCTCTTCTGTACGAATTGCTACTAACCCAATAGTAAATGGATAATTGAGTGAGAGTAATTAAGCAGTTAAATAGCATCGCACCAACCTCATCTGTACTGCTCACCACTCTGGAGCAGGGGACGGCTCCTCCCAGCAGTCAGTGGAGAGAGAAGAGGGAGATGGATGCGCATGTGCGCTCACACACACGCACATTCTTCCCTGGAATCATGCTCCCTGACTCGCCAAGTATTTGCCGCTCCAAATCCCTCCAGCGCATTTTTGAGACACTTCTCTTTTCATTTGTCCAACCCCGCCGGGACAGGCCAGCGCAATGACTCACCAGCACACATGGGCAGCAAGTTCGCCCACAGCAGCGTTCTTCACGAGGGACTGAAGCAAAAATAGAGAAGAAAAAAAAAGCCCAACCAAAAATAATCTGCAGTTTCTGAAGTTCTGTTCGTGACTTCCCGAGTAACCTGCCTGTCAGACAGCAAAACTGCTCCGTCACCCACACGAACAGCCCAAAGCAAAGCCTTCCTTTCGGAGCCTTCAGAGCAGGTTCTGTCCGCTTTGCACATACACAGCATGGACTTCAGGCGGACAGCTATTTAAAGACGTTTACCAGCTCAGCATCATTCGACAACTTCAGTACATGAAATACAAGTACCTCTTTCTGCATATGCGTTGCTCTTGAAGAAGCAAGGTCCCACAAGTCTGAGGGACTTCATGGGATCATCTCCCATGAAGGAACATGTTTCACAACAGCTACATGCAGGTACTTCCCTTGCTAAACCGTAAGTTCGGTTTATTTTGGTGCTTTACTTGTCAGTGGCCTGAAGACACAAGGATTTTTGTGGCAGCTATGGCACAGGTATGACTTGTAATATCCCCACCAGGTAGAACCACAGAGTCTCTCATTTTCCTCAGACATGTAGGAACACTTCTTTACTCCTCCTCTAGGACAATAATTCAGCCAAAGTCAATTACCCAAAGTTTGAAGGAGTGGCAGAGACAACGGTGGATTTTAAAAAACAGTCTTGTAAATAAATTTCAAGTGGCTAGGCGAAAAATGAAAGCTCAAAGCAAAGTCAATCATGATCCAGACTGCGACCCACTGTTAAGAGCACGCCAGGCAGAGACCCAGACTTAGCAGTGAGCAACGTTCAAGAGCAGATTATGAAGTTCAGCCACGCTGCTGAGTGCTCCACAGGCTCTGACCTACAGACTGGAACAAACTAGGCAAAAACAACCCAAAATAAACAAGCCTCCTCGGTCACCAAGGTGAAACAGCAAGGGACAGTGACCTCCCTGGCTGACCGCGGTAACTACAGGCACGCTAACGCAGAGCTGGGATAGGCTTTGCTCCCCTTAATGGCCCCGGCGTTATCTTCCTGAGACTACCAGGGGACTGCAGAGGCCACAGGAAAAAGGAGCATAATAATCCACAGGATCACCGCAATCTTTACCATGAGGGTCACTGCTTCGGGGCAGCATGGAGCATATGTAGCATGTGAAATTTCACCTGCTGAGAGCTCTGTAAAGCGGCATCAGAGAGAGATCTCTGCAATGAATCCCCTCCTAGTCTCTTTTGTGAACCAGAGTTAACAAAACACAATAAATCACAACAAACACAATCCGCTGGTGGTAACTATACAGTAAGAACATTTATTTCATGTCGACACTTGTAAAAGAAGTCTCTTCCAAGGCAGATGATTTGATATACAAATCAAAGCCACCATACGTTTTTCTTTTAGTCTCTATACTGAGCTCAAATTTATACAACGTGAATGCTTGTTCTGAAACAAAATTACAAATTAAATCATAACAAAATACACAAAATTGACTGGACCCTAAGTTTAGTTCACTGAAAGAATTCTTCTTTCCTCCGATCACCTTGACGCTCTCCCCCATCGTTATGCTCCCCCTTCTGCTTGGCCATGAATTTCTGTAGAAATAAGGGTAGCCAGTGAAAAGATACCGCTATGTTATTCCTCAGCCCACGACAAGATCATGCTCTAAAAACAGTGCAGGTTTCATAAACGCATTGGCCAAAAGTCAACCTACTCCTTATACTGGTAATGTGTGATCTGTACCAAAAAACACTCAGAAGTTTTGCTCACAAACTGACACACACACAGTGAATTTCTGTAGAAATAAGGGTAGCCAGTGAAAAGATACCGCTATGTTATTCCTCAGCCCACGACAAGATCATGCTCTAAAAACAGTGCAGGTTTCATAAACGCATTGGCCAAAAGTCAACCTACTCCTTATACTGGTAATGTGTGATCTGTACCAAAAAACACTCAGAAGTTTTGCTCACAAACTGACACACACACAGAGTCACCAAGTGGTGAAGCTCCCGAGTGGAATTTTTACAGGGCACATGGCAAAATACTAAGTATCAGGAGTTCACATGATGACAGCGACCTGTGACTGGTCATGAAATCTAAAATAGTAATTCAATATTCACCACAGGCTGTGTATTCATTACGCCCACCTCACAAAAGTCTATGTCGATAGGTATCTTCCCAGTTTTCTACCCCTCACATCAGCAGGGGACGGGGCTGCCTCTTCCCCCAGCCGGTAGATGCTGGGTCCCTGCCGGCCGGGTGCACTGGGCAAGGGGTACTGCTGGGGGGGTGGGGGGGGCGGGGGGGTGACCCCTCTGGCTGCCAAACTGACCTTTTGGTCATTTTGTATCTGCGAGATATTTTAGCCAGTCTGCAGCTTCGGCAAATCAGGAAATCTGACAAAACCGTGCCTTCATGCCTTCGGACACATCACTGCATAGTTTTTAAAAATCACTTCTTAAAAATGAAAGGAAGACAATAGCTATTCCCACGCCTTCCTAGGTAAGGAAGGCTTTACGTAGGCAACGAGCTCGCATAATTTAACACTATCTGTCCGAGTTTAAAACTAAAACCCCTTGAAGTATTAACATGAGCTCCCTATGCCACGAGGAAACTATTAGCACTCGTTAAAGCAAACATTTTTAGAACGATATTCTTTTCACCCCTGTGTGTTTTAAGAAGCTTCAGCATTACCTCCATGTTTTGCTGATGAAGTGGTGTCTTGCAGTGGTTTTTCACAGACATTTCATCTGCGTAGAACAGCGAGCAGATCTGACAGAAAAAGCCTGCCTTTGGAACTAGGTAATCCAAATCTGAAGAGACAGCACACATTAACATGAACAAAACACAGCTTTAAAAAAAAATTAAAAATCAGATTCCTTTCGCCAAATCTGTAGAATTTGTTATTACTGGAAGGAAATTAGTTACATTTGTTCAGTGTTCAAAAAATTAGGCTTCTAATCCAAGCTGGTCACCCACCCTACTTCCAATAAACAGAGAACAACGCATACTTTTCTGTGAATAGGATGACTGACCTTCTGGATCCGAAGCTCACTGCAACTACCTCAGCGTCTTTTGGCCTTAAAGTATTTTATATACAACTCATTTGCCAAGTTTAACCTCTGTCCTGCAGTATGTTACGCAAGCATTTTCTATCACAGAGATTGTTACACAAGCCATCAGGCAAGGATCCGTATTTTCCTAGGAACTTCTTTTACAGTGCAAGTGTTATCAGTAGTTTTATATGAAAGTATTTTAGATGAGGATCTTGGAATATATACACGCACACATTTTTAAAACCATGTAAGCCGTTCCCTCATTTCTATACATTGAGAGAAAGTTGGTAATAAAACTCCTAACAGGATTACAACAGTAGGTAGATATTACACTGCACTGTGCTAATTATAAGTAAATTAGCCTATATTTGTAAACTAAAATTTTGGAAAAAAAGAACTTTCAACTTTGCTGCTGCTATTAAGCCAACAGCAGAAACTTGTTAAACATGCATTTGTAGGAGCCAAGATAAAAACACAAATTACGGGCCATGACTTCCAAGTTAAATGTGGTAATGACGCAAAGGAGGCATTTTCAAACGGGCAAGAAAGATGTCTTCCAGCAAGAAAAGTACAGAGCACTTGGGGTAGGCTTTTTTGTCTTTACCTTTTGCAGTACTCTGCGTCTTCGATGCATCTGAAGAAGCCATTTTCCTCCGCTTAGACTCTGGTTCTTTATCGCCTGATCCCAGCTGATCTACTGGAGGCCATAAATGCACGTTAAACAAAGGTACCCGCTCATTTAAAGGTTTTCTGTATCTAGCTGTAATGGCTCGTGACTGCTTGAAACAAAAACACCATCTGTATGGTCCTTGCTGTTTTCTACACTATCCGGTTTGGTCTTTCCATAGAGCATTTCTCAGGAACTCCTGACATCAATCCCGCGGGCAAGACTTCCAAATCCAGCCCTGGTGCCGCGGTGAAATGACTCCAAAAGTGCTCTTGACTACATGGCACTCGTCACGGAAGGACACCGCTGCTCTCCGCTGCCTTCCTCTACAGCTCTTATCAGCAGCTTCAAACCAACGTTGTGATTATGATCACAAAAAACTCAACTTCTTTATAATACAAGCTACCAAGCTTTCTTGAACTGATCTAGCTCGAGATCTAACAGCAGTATTTCAGCTTCATTACAGAACCAGCCAAAGCCTACGGAATATGTTATTGGATTAACCAGCTCTAAGGAAAGATCAAAATCAGTATTTTAAGATTTTTCTGGAGACAAGGAGTTTGACAGAGTCTCTTCTATTACAAGATAAACAAGGTGTTTGGTTTTTAGACTATCAAAGCAGTCCAACTGGCAGGTGAAGAGTCACACATCAAAAATACCTGTTTTCTTTCTAATTCTATGTTCAAATAATCTAGATACCAGCATGTCCTAAACAAGGCTAACGCAATAGATCCTTTCCCTTAATAACAAAAACCAGGAAGCTGTCAAAGGAACGCAACAGACGGCATCGCTCTTGCATCCCCTAGACGTTTGAGCAGATTGTGAGTATCTCACCGCACCATGAACACACGAAGTTTCAGATTTGCCACGTGGCTCTTCGCGAGCTGGCAGTTAGACCGTCATCCTTTGAACTGTTGGCCTGAGGTAATCAATAAACTGTTTCCTAGTTTGCTGCTGGAATCAGATTTTAAGACTGGAGTAATACGGTTTTACTTGCTTTAACCTCTCCTTCTCAGTTTTCTTGTTCCACTTCTCAAACTCAGGAGGAACTAGTCCTTTCCTAAGCCTACTTCTTTTGCCTGAGGTTTTTACTATACAGAGAGGAACTAAAATCACTTATTTACTGTCTATCAAATACATTTATTATAATTTGTCACTACCAGTTAGATTAGAAATCAACTCAAGGGCTTGGATATCTTAAGAGGTCTTTTTACAGCTAACTTGCTAACAGAACATAGAAAATATTTTGCATTTTCAGTAAATGCTTTTGTTAATCATGGGGAAGCTTCTGTTCTACAACATTAACAAGATTAAAACAATATATAACATTTAAATATTTTTGGGTGTGTATAGAGTCACAACTAATCCCCTTCCTAATGTTTATAGAAACTGAAGTTTAAATACTCTGTCTTAGGCAAGGTATCTGCTGCTTCTGCAGCTCCTCCAGATCTGCACTACTCAGGTTGCCTCTGCTCCACGATGAGTGTGAGATGAGAGAAAAGCTTTTCCAAAACACTACAACAAAAGGTGCTGCGTCAGTGCTCAGCTACATCAGCAGAGACTGAAAGAAAACTTGAGACTAGTGGACTGCATCACACAGAGCCTTCACCTACGCTTTGTCCAAAACTCTTCTTGTGTGTTGGTTATATATAGTCTCCCTACTTGGCTCTGCGTTAGCCTGTCTTAACCCTTCACTAATTCCATGCTACAGATGTTCTTCTACATTTTTCCCTCTAGATCCAGCTTGGAAGCTGTTACATCTTTGTATCTGTGTGTCTATTTCACTTGACTCACCATAATGAAGTTTGGCCCTGTAATTACAGGCTATAAATCATCTGTGTTGGGTAGTTTACCAGGCCTTGCATTAAAAGCGGTATTTTCCCCACTTTTAGCCATCATAAACACCAAATGAAAACTTCAAATCAATATGCAGCTTAATTTTACATCAAAAGAAAGATGCATTGTAAAATGCATTAATAAAATAACCTACCTTCAGGCCGTTGTTCACGCTCAGTCTCCCATTTTACCCCAGCATCTCTTTCATTAACTTTGTCAAAGATTTGGGGTTTTTCAGTTTCCTCTATTTGCTAAAAGGATCTCTTTATGCATGGCACTGATTACAAGCATCTTATTTTCTATTTCCCCCTCCAGAAACTATGAAAGGTTCCTCACCTTTTGACTTTGAGATTACAGTAATTTCTTCTTCTGGACTCATATCTCCTAGAATTTCCATTTCTTCTGGTCCTGCAACAGCAACAATATCTTCATCATCATCCTCCTCATTCAGATTTTTCCCTGGGAAAGTATTTTCTTCTTCCTCATCCTCCTCTCCAACTTCATCTACTGTAACAAAGTTCAGTTCCTCTTTTAGACAATCAAAATCATCCAGAAAATCATCTTCATCTTCGTTAACTTCATCCAAAGTTACTAGAGGGTTATCTTCATTGTCCTCTTGTATTTCATCTACCGTCACTAAAGCACTGGGATCATCAGGCACCTGGGAGGAAGCACAGTCTCCAGTATCCTCAGCAGTCGCTTTATCATCCTCCTTCTGCTTCAGCACATCCTCAATATTCAAGTCTGCAGGCTCGTTCAGAGGCAGCTCTTCTACTTCGCCGATTTCGTCTACAGTTACCAAGGGTTCAGCTTTCAGATCCTGCTCCTCAAAAACTGACCTAGGGATGTCTTTATGAGAACTAAGGTCCTCCTGTTCGGATATCTCATCCAAAGTAACAAGCGACTGTGGATCCTTTACTGCTTCTGACATAAGTTCTTCCTCTTCCACCACTTCATCCACTACAACCAGACCCTGCGGGTCACTGAGCGCTTCTAAATTAGCAACTCCCATTAGCTGTGCAGTCACATCCTCCTCCTCACCGATTTCATCCAGAGTGACAAAAGAGAGTTCGCTTTCAGCAACGTGCGCTATGGAGCTTTTCCCTTTCCTTCTCTTAGAGCTAGGCTCAGAAGAGGAGTTGGTTTTAGCACCATCTTTTCTCTTTCCCCTCAGTGGATTTCGCCGTGTTTGAACGGGAGACTCGATTTCCTCTACAACCTCATCCACAGTAACAAATTCATCCAGGTTAAATGGAAACAGCTCTTCTTCCTAGGAAGTGTAAAAATGTGAACATAACAAAGTTTAACATTCACCCAGTGACACAAGCACCTCCATCCACAGGGTGCCCAATGAAAAATATCTACACACTGAACATGGCTGAAGGGGAAAAAAAAAATGCAACTTGCCTTAAGGGTAGAAAACAATTTTCAGGCCTTCAGTCTCATATGGAAGAGTTTTCATTATCAGCATTTGTGTTAAGTAAGCAGATTCAATTCAGAAACCGAAAGCATTTTTGAAACACAGCGGATGAATAGACAAAATCTGTATCTATTAGAAGAACTAGGCCAATGCCCTGAATACTTATGTATATTTTTGCACTCACTTGCAGGAAGACTAGTGAAAATCTGAATACCTCCAGATTATCCTTCAAAAACACTATTATCTTGTGTCATACCTCATTCTCTTCCCTAAGCGTATGCTGTTGGCCGCTGCTGCAAACAGGAGACTACATTAGATGTTTCGATCCAGTCATTCTGTGTCCTGATGACTACTCACTGTTTTATCTTGCCTCTTTGGTTTCAATCTCCTAACAAACATCTCGGTTTCAGAGAGGTTCTCCGATGGCCCTAGGTTCCAGCCCAGGAAAGGGCTCCCAGTACTGGAACCTCCCCCTGTTTCTCTACAACCAACACGTACAAGAAGATAATTTTCTCCTTTCTGTTAAGGTCTGACTAGCCCCACAGACGCTCTGGCAGACTTGCTGCTCCTCCTGTGCCAGCCACCTTTCCTTAGGGACCAGGGGGCAAGATCCAGCCTTCCAGAAAATGCCTTATAGTATTTTTATGTTCAAGATGACAGAGCCTGACCCTTTCTAATTCTCCTCAGTCAGTAGCATGCTCTTACTGGAGCATGTCTTGCATCTAAAACTCCTCTTATTGCACAGTTTGACCATGCCAGCTTCCATCAGGGCTCACACAATTTGTTCTAGGACCACTGGAAAGAATTAGCAGCAATTTAATGCCATATGTAGCTGAGAAGATCTGGAGGAGGATGTATGGATAAATGTTGAATTTAATAAAAGAGTGAATTAACTCAAATTACTTTTAGGTTATTTGAATAGACAGCAGTCATGTTTTTGGAACAGAGCATTATACTTTGTTCACTGTAAAATAGGTACGCTTTTATAATCAGGATGGTAGCATAAGGTGGATAAGATGGGTACTTAAGTCAATTAATAAATTAATTTTAGACATTAAAACACATCCAAATACCCATTGCACCCCAAATTATGTATTCAATTTCTTCAATGAACAATTTTGAATTTTTTTTATTTTTGCAAAATATTCCATCCTACCATCAAATACTGGTCGGTATCTAACACAAGAAGAGTGAAAAAACCCTTGTCAAAGCAGAACTTAAGGCCAAGGCAAGATGAACTTTCCTCTGTACAGAGCAAGACTGCAGCTAAGAAATACTAAAAACAATCCTCCAGCAGAAAAATGAATCTGAAATTCAAAGGCTACATGCCTTTTCTTCCCTTTCTTTTTTAAAAAGCTAACAAATACTAGGAATAATGTGTGCCTCCACCTACATTCTGATGCAGAGACTTGAGGAATACTTAATGCAAGGTGGGCACAGTGAAGAAAAAGAAAGAAAGATTTCAACTGAAATCAAACGTTACTGTGTTCTTTCTCCATGAAAAGGAGAACACAGATCTTGGTTCTCATCAGCTGTGTAACAGTGAAGAATAAAGGTGTAAGAAGTAATAGACATTACAAAACCTTTTTCAAGAGGTGCAGAATTTCCTCTTGGGGATTAACAAACACATCTGGAACATCATAAACGAAAGCGTTCTCTATCACCATCAACCTCACAAACACACTGTGCTGGTGATGCAGTAAGTTTATGTGGATAAAGATTTATAAAAGCATTCAGTTCTCCAACTTTATCTCAGAAATCCCTTTTCCATAGGGACCCACTACTTACCTGGTAGATCTTTGATTTGATGCTGTAACCCTACTTCTACAAACTCATCAATATGGATTTTTATTACCTTCTTTCTGTTTTTCTTCCCCAAAGCCCAAGCTATCTAAGAGAGAGAGAGGGTATCTCTTTTAACCTTCCTGTAAAAATGCAGACTGAGCAGTTGAGCCTACAGGCTCCCAAGCTCTTCTTCAAACCATCACCTCACCAAAAATGTACAGTAATCATTGCTTTGCAAAACAACCCACTGGAAATACCTTTGCATGGAGGAGGTACCATGGATAGAGATGTTCTGACTACCTCCTGTTGTACAGTTGTACAAAATCATTTATAAAGAGCTAGAAGACTTCAGCCTGCCTTCCTCTTCTCACAAGTCTGATGATGAATAAAGATATTGTGCAGGCAACTGGGGATCCAATGAATTGATTCTCTCTTTCTCAAATAAATGATATCCGGAGACCAAAAAATACCTCCTCTTAACACTCGCTTCCTGAATTAACTTTCTCTTCCAAATTATTGTCTTTACAGCTTTATGCCCGTAGTCTGTAACAACTAGTAATACAAAAAATTCCCTAGGGAAGGTAATTAAAGATTCTTAGTACACACACGCTTTCAAGACAATCTGACTTTAAGTTTATTTACAGTTACATCCTTACCTCCTTTTGTTTTGCACTACTGCTAGTGCCACTTTTTGAAGTTTTAGTATTGCCACCAACAGGAGCCTGCAAAATTAAGACAAAAGTTCACATGGAATCAGTTAAGCCAACTAACCTGTCCACAAGAGAAAAAATAATTTTAAAAATCAGCTATTTTTTCCCTTAATGAACTTTTTTAAGTTGTCCAGACTGCTGCTTCTGATCACATGCTTGGCAAATACAGAACTAAGCCCAACCGTCAGTGGAAGAGTCCAGGCATACAGTCTCTAGCAACAAGTCACAGGTAATAGCTTGCTTAGTAGCCTCTTTTCAGTAACCAGTGTCTGTGCAGGACTTGACAAAGCAAGTATCAGCTCACAAAAGGACAGAAAGCTTATTAATTCCCATTCAGAACTAATCCAAGAACATAAAGTTATAACACTCAATAAAGACTCGCTTCAAAAATACCTTCCTGCAATTTTTTCCAAGTAGCATTTTCAAACCAGTTACATACTTGCGTTGCACACACTGTATCTAAAAGCAACTGGTTGCCCGCCATCTCGCTATTCCAACTTGTCTGTTGGCCCAAACCAGCTGAGTGATTTATGGAAAAGGGAAGGGGAACATAATCTCATGGTCCCATACTCAACATCTGAGAGAAGCATGGAGTTAGTTACTGATCAGGCACACTGAACCAGCCTTCCTGCCCTTCTCACCTTATTGCTGCTGTTGTCTTTCTTCATGCTGGATGATCTACTCTCTCCCTCTTGAGACTGTTTTGAACTAGCCCTAGATTCCACTCGCGAGTCCTTCTCTTGCTGAGATGAATTCCTCCCATTGCCTCCCTTTCCATCAACAACAGAACTTCTGCTCACTTTACATTTGCCGCTGCCATCTCCCAAGCTTGATCGGCTGCTACCAGGTTGTGCATGACCCTCTTCTTTTGATGCGATTTTCTTCTCCACCGCTGGTTGGCCTCGGGTCTCAGGCTTCAAGGGAGCTTTCTGCTCCCCTCCTTTACAGAGGCAAGGCTCATTTCTCCGTACTGGAACCCTTGACTTTGATATATCCGGAAGAGACACCACTGCCCTTAAAATCATTTTACCAACAGAGGAAGATTCCTTGACAGAGAGAGAGGAGTTTAACAGAACTGCTTTGCGGGTTTCATCAGTTTTTGCTGGTCCTGTTCCTTTATTTTGATGGGCTTTGATTAAACTTCCCTCATTGTTCTCACTGACAGCATTTGCAGCATTTTCCATAGCAGCCCCAACCTTGGTCACAGATTTTTCAAGTTTCTTCTCTGCCTCTGCCCCAGTCTTGACCAAAAGCTTTTCAGGGTTCTCCACAGCTCTTCCAGCTTTGAGCACAGACTCTTCTAGTTTCATCTCTCTGTCTGCTCCAGCTACACCCAGTTTCTTCTCCATGGCCGCCCCAGTTTTAAGTACAGGCTTCTTCTCTGTTATTGGAGTTATGAACATTTTATATTCAGCATCAGAAACACTATTTTTTTCAGGAGCATCCAACTTGTTCGTTGTTTGTGTGACAACAGATGACACCATCTCCACTGAGGCTGCATCAGAATCAGGGGGCACCGCTTCAGGGATAGCCCCTGTCGTATACCCTGCTACCGGCTTCACAGCACCACCTGATGGCACATCTTCAGCCTTGCCCACATCGGACAATTCTTCTGGTCGTTCAACGGCAGGAGCAGACAACTCTGCATCTTTCTCTTTAATTTCCTTCTTGGAAGCAGATACAGCAGCAGATTCAAACAACTCTGGTTCAGTGTTATCTTTAACTGCTTCTTCCTTCTCCACACTGGAAGGCGGCATCTCTTCTGACTTCACTTCAGATGATCCACTAGCAGCGGATTTGATAGATGCCACAGTAGCTTCAACTCCAGCGCCCACTTTCTCCACAGATGTTTCTGCCAGTCTCAGAGCAGACTCCCTTACTGCTCTTTCAAGATTGGACTCTATCTGTACTGCTGACATCTTGTCTTTGACATTAGAGATGGAAACGGGTCCTTTCTTTGCCACACTAGGCTCTACTGGAGGATTAGCAGCTGCTGTTTGCACCACTCCTGATCCCTCTGGATATTTTTTCAAGCCAGAGCTAAATGCATTTAAAAAAAACAGAAGAAATCAAACTATGTTGAGAATTCTACAGTAACCAGTAACCTCTTGATGCCAATGGTGGGGGATTTCCTGATGCATTAGTGCTTAGCATTTGGAAATCTACCCTATCAGTGTTAAAATGGTTAAAAACATCGAGGCGAATAGCTGATTAGTTTTATGCTTCTTTGTAATCCACCTCAGTACCACAAGCCTTTTACACTTCGAATTACATTACTTGTAGTCAGAGTACCTCAAGGTAGCACTCACTACAGATATGCCCTGTGACCTCGGTGCTGGCACGAACTCCTAAAATTTAGATCCCCTGATGCAAGGCAGACTGTGAAAGCGAAAATACATATATACAGCAAAAATAAAGCTTCAGTCTCCCTGTATAAAAGAATTACCAGAGTTTTGTTATGTTTGAAGACAGCAGACTCTGCAGTCACCAACCTAGAGAACTCTTCCAGTAGCTAGGAGTCTGAAGTTTGTTAATTTTTTTTGGTCCAGGTTTGGGGGGAGGGAGGGAGGCGTTGCTTTGGTTTTAAACTGCATTGACCTCGCACAATAGCAGGGAACACAATACATGCACAGAGGCTGCTTTTGGCCAGGCTCTGTTTTCACTGTATAATCCCACTGTCAGCTCCCAGGATAATAAAGCCCAAGATGACAATGCAGAGGGTAGCGCTTTTCAGAGAACTTCAGTTATAGGAAGTGCATTATTATTCTCTGAAAGAAAGAATCCTCCGGAGATGATCTTGGGAGACACTGAAATTAGAGATGTCTGTGCCTCTCTTCCCACAAAGCTCGAGAAAACGAGCATCCCAACACCTCGTGCATCTCTAGATGGAAAGGTGCCGAAATAGCAGTGCTGACAATCTCGCTAAGTGTCGAAACAAACACAAAAGCAAACACGCATAATTAATCAGTGGTTATGCACAATGGAGCAGCCTGTGCTATGGCTTCTCAGAACCTATGTATATAAATAAAGGGTGAACATTTGTGTAAACCTTCATGAAAATAAAAAAGAGCAGAGAAGCCTGCCATTTTGGTAATACTCCCAGCACGATGTCAGCAAGAAAACGGAAGGATAGGTCAAATGGAACTCAGCGCTGACAAAAATGTTAAGTCTTGAAGTGGCCAGATAAGACAAAGACACAATACATGGAGTCAACAGAAGTGTGAAAACAGGCAAACTCAGTTAACACCTGTGCTATGCAAGCACAACAAAAACACCAAGCTCGAAGGTTTCCTCCAGCCTGAGGGCACTGTCCTCCGCTGCTACAAAATGCGAGAGGAGAGAGAAGAAGGGATATGAATTCTGCTTCAAAATCTTTCGCAACACCAGTTTAAAACTGGCATAGATGTAACACGTCATGACTGTACATCAGATGAACACTTGCAGCACGATACGAGGGCACTCCTCCCCTAGCAAAGCAGCAGGCCTGCAGCATTTTGCAGCTTGGCAGGCAGGGCTCGCAGGAGCGATGGAGTGTGCGTGCTCCCAGCGCTGCCCCGCGAAATGCTGGGAATCTCCTTCAGAGCCCGAGCGGCTCAACTCACAGTAACTGAAGTCTTATGAAAGAAAAGCAACTTCACTCATTCCAACATGCCGCTCATCTCCAACAGGCTTCTTAGACTTGTCATCAATTTGAACTTGTTACTTGCAAATGTTTTGGGGTAAGTGTGCCCCATGAGTGGCTAAGCAGTCGGGGCTGATCTGCTTTTCATGCCACAGTATTGGTTTACCCAGTCACAACACAGAAGATATTTTTGACATCAATTAAACACTGTTCGTGTTCCAAAAGCAAAAAACATTTCAGTTAATTTTCTCTTCTATTTGAGCATCCTACAGACCACTGAGATTTATGTCTCACATGTCTGTGTAGCAAAACATTACCTGGATAAGTCAGAGCACAAGGCCAGAAGTGCAGCTCTGAAAGCCCAGGTTTGTCAGTGGTGCATATAAAACTTAAATACAAGCTCTAATGCCTTGCTAAACCGTACCCCACAGCCTCTGTTCATACATTTTTTGCAGGGAATGGAAAAATGTCAGTGAAAACTGGAACCATACACTAACTGCAAAGCTTACAGCGAGTAGCACACATGTATTATCCTCCACACAATTCAACTGAGGTATTAGTCTCTGAACCCTCAGGACTTTATGTCTCCTTTCATGCCAACACCCACTCTGTGCCTTCCACAAAGCCCTGATGGTCTCCAGAATACACTGATAGACTCAAACCGGACTGTGAAGCAGTGAAAGGAGAGCTCTCCAGAGGCAGTAATGCACAGAGATAAAGATGAGTGAGCCTGATGGAGCATCAAGGTGCTTGAAGTAATATTTAAAAGACCTGTTGGGCATTGGGAAAGAAATAGCACGCAGACCTACAAGACAGATTTCCTGCACAGAAGTTAGCATAAAGGGTGAAACCAACAATACCTGGTGCTCAGTTTCTGCATAGCATGTCCCTGCATTAGCTGCCATTCGCAGCCATTACTGCCCGAGTTCGCAAGGGAAAGGCTTGGAGAGCTCAGTCCTAGAAAGGTCAGCGCGGGCGCTGCGTCACAACGGAGACACAACCTGCTTCCTACGCGTCAGCTCAGGACTAAAAGGAGCAGTAGAATAGTCCTTGATTCTTAACCTGGCCAAGGAAAGTTTCAGCTATTTTAGCTGAGGAAAATAAATCCCAACAAAATGCATTAGCATCCTTGAAAAGAGCAGAGGCGTTCACGTAAGCACGTCAGTCACCTCAGCCGCAAGGTTAGACGAACTACCTACTCGGGCTGGACAACACCCCAGCTTCCAGAAGCATACAAAAAATGTTTTCAAGATCACCTCATCATCCCGGGCAACTGAGAGGGCAGTCCCTTCTGCTCCCCAGGTTCTGCTACTCCTTCCCTGCCCAGAAACACGTGACAAGGTCTTCCCATATATAACAATACTGAAGATATTTTCTGCTGCTTATAAAAGGTAACTCAAAAGAGTAACTGATCAGGTCACAAAAGCTTACGAGGAGAAGAGAGTTGCCTCAGACAAAGAGAATGTGCATAGCATTATAAAACAGTTATCCCGTCTGGTCACCAGCCACAGCAGGATGCTGGGCAGTAGCTGGGATTCATGTAAGAGTCACTTGTGTTGATTAATTACCACGCTAGCTAAAGCCCACCAGTCTGGAATCAAAAAGGTTACCTGCACGTCTGCCTATGTGTGAGTCAGAAACAGTTTACAAACTAAACGCTTGCAAAATTGACTAGGGCCTGAGTAGAAGTTTCATTAAGTTAGGAGTGCCTAACTTTACTTTAGAAAGAAACAGGTTTTGGAAATAAAGTAACAGTCCATGACAGTATAATGGCATTACTTGAAATTGAAGTTTAGGACCATTATTACATAGTTTTGGGGTTTTTTTTCATGATAAAACTTACCCAGAAATACGGATTTGAGTCACAGAAGGTGTTTTAAGTCATATTTGTTAACAAGAACTCTTATAATGATCTATCCATTTATTAAAAAAACATAATCAAGACTCTAAAACCAACAAATAGTTACTCCACAATTAAAAATTTTTACTACAAGCAGTGTCTGCAAAATAATTTTAAATGGAACATACCAAAACCACCATTTCCAATTTCTAGGTTCTGATGTTAATATAGCATCTAAACGTTTTTTTTAAATCAATTCAGGGACCTATACCACAGTGCGAAGTTAATGTTAATAAGTTAAACAAGGAAGTTTCAGTTTATTTTTAGCATTTGGAAACAGAAACAATAGAGCCAGGTGCTCTCACAGAGGAAAGCGCTGTAGGACGAAATAAAGCAATCACTTCGAGGTTAAATACAACAAAAAATTGTCTTACCAACATGTATTTCCAAACATACTTTCCAGGACCTGTGGTAAAATCCTGGCTGTAATTAGTAAAACAATAACAACTCAACAAACCACACAGAAAACAAGATTTCACCCCATTTGTCCATGTTCTTCGAAATCCCCGGATTTCAAAGAAATCACAAACATTACAGCTCCGCAGCAGTACACTACACGTCCTGCACACACAGAACACACAAAAGCTTGAAAGAAATAACATCAGGTAACAGTTGACGGATCTCACAGCGGGCCTTTTCATCAAGCCTAGTTAGAGAGATGGCTCAGCAATCTGCTCAATCTTGGATATGCATTCCATGAACAATATAGGTAAATTAAAAACTTCCTTAAATACTTGAAAGGCATACCTTCCTTTGCTTGGTTCCTCTTTCTTCACTTCTTTTTTCACAACTTCAGCCTGAAAGGCAAAAATCAGGGTTCAGTATCTATGACTTTCAGAAGCATCAGCACAGAATTTGCATAGCCCAGCTAATTAATAACTCCACGAACCCAAATTTAGGCACGTATCACCTCAAAGACCACAGGACAGTAAATTGTTCTAAAACTGCTCCCCACAGAACATGTATTTCATAAGATGACAAATAAAACTGCATGGCAGTATAAGAGATTTTACTAAAAGGTTGCTAGACGGAACATGTGGCACACCACTATCTGTTTTGTTCGTCTCATCTTCAGACCTGTCATGTTTTTGAGCAGAATTAGCTTTTAGTCTGTGATATATTTGGAGGAGAGGGATGTTCAACGCGTCTCTTCCCAGACACCACCTTCTTTCCTGTACTGTCGAGGATGCTAACGGCTGCAGAGCTCAGGGTGAATACAGTTAGCCTGACAGGTAAGTCTTACACAGAAAACAATGGCACACCTTTTCTAAAGACAAGTTATATTCCAAGTTAAGCAATTATCTACGGAAAACCCAAGGCCAGTTTCTATTGCTTAAAACCTGCTAATGTAGCATGCATTTCTTGTAGGATGACTACGCCTTTCTGCTTTCTGTTAGGTAGAATAAACTTGTAGAATACATGTGAAACGAAATAATGTCTTCTGGAAAAAAGACAACCACAAACCATTCAAGCTCTGCAGCTAACACAGTTAGTAGCGTAGGTCCAAGCAACCAAAAAAACCTTTAAAAACTCAGTGTTGAAATCTCTATCTCTTTTCCGAAGGCATTCTACAAACTAATTTGAAGACTATCACTATTAGGAAGAACATTAGATAAATTCAGTGCACTCAGAATTCACTTTAATCTTTTACTTATGCACATAATTCCAGAGCCTTCAGTTTTCCCTTTCTAAAAGCATTTATTCAAGAGATAAGTGCCAAAAGTAATTTGAACGTGTTATAATGAATTAAAAATAATTTTGTTGTTCCTTCAGACGACCTTCTGAACGAAAGGCTTCTAGAGAAAATAGCTTGTGGCAAATGGAGCTTCAAGCTTAATGTTCCTGTGGTACCTTGGCATATAATACAGATTCTGGCAACAGAACCGAGAAGATGGACAAGAGGTAACAGACTCAAAATGCCATGAAGAACAACAGATGGAAAAACTCAGTTTTCCCTCTTATCAGTGTGACCAGGCATTTTTCTCTCCACCTCAGCTAAAAATAAAACTTAGGAGTGTATCTCCAAAGTACAGATGTATTTCAACATTTGTGCAAAAGCTGTGACAGTCGCACTGAGAAAGACTGGAATGATACCAGTTGCAGCCATGTTCTATGATTCTGTATTCCAGCTGCACATCCTCCTTCACTGTTACAGCAGTTTCCCCATATTTTTGTTATTTCAGCAGTATTAAATTCAGACATTATCAGCAAAATTACAGAAACAAAACTATAATGTGATTAAGCGATCACTTACATTACTGCTGTTACTATGCCACTGGCATCAGTTACTGCTATCTGGCTGGCCAACCTCTCTAAATCAGACAAGCACTCTGTATCACCCAAAGTGAGCAGCTGGAAAGAAATATTATTTTGAAAACAGAATGTGAATGCCAGTCTTTGTTGGCATTGAACTCTGCTCTGATGAAACATTTATAGTGACAAAGGCACGTTATTCTGTTGCTACACAAGATATAGGGAACAGCTATAAAAAGCAGATTTGAATCACAAAGTGTTCCCACAATGCATCCTTGACAGACGTTCCTTAGCGTGAGCACTGTAATGAATGATATTTTGCTTATTTTTCAGTGCTAAGGGACCTTATTACCTACATTTTCTAGACTTGAGAAAAAGCTCATAAGCCTGAAGATTTGGCTATTTTCTTCAGCTACAAAGTTAGTCTAATAAAAGATATTACTCTTAAATGCATCTGACATCATCAAATACAATTATAATTTATGTTCTTTAAAGTGATCTGAAGTTCACTATATGAACTGAAATACAAAATAAAGTGGCTCGGAAGAAGAGCGTATTTTGTTCTATACAAAGAGTCAGCAATGAGGAGAATCATCCCTGCAATGGGGAACAGGAGAGAGAGAAAAACTCTTGGTACATCTAATCCAGGCTCTTGCATCTAGCAGAAGAGAAAAGAGCACACTACGCACCCGCGCTCACCCCATTTTAGCTATCAGCACTTCACCTGCAGTGGGTCCCCACCCTGCATCAGAGGTCTACACTAGCAGAAAGGCAAAATAACTGATTTTACACAGGTTAGGCTCTGCACGTGCACAGCAACTGTGAACCCAAATCACATACGGTTGTGTATCGCTATATGTCCTAAACCATCACAGATGCAACTCGACAACTATTGCAGGAGACCCCCACCAAAAATGTACACTTAAAATCTCTACTGACACAGTATGTCTTTAAAAACATGAATCCTAAACACCATACAGATTTCATAAATATGGATGTTTTTCAATAAAGCAGAAGAAATTGACAGTACAACAGAGAGCAAACTATGATCCAAGCCAATGATCAGTACACAACCTAGTCTCTAAAAAACAGCTGAAATTCATTGTGATGCCCAGTGCAAATAATACTGACAGCTTTGTCAGCACAGTAAGTAGAAGTACACGTCTGGATGACTTTTTTCCTCCCTGTTGAAGTAATGGACTGATGCCCTTGTTATCATTAGGCACCTGAAGTTAAACTGTCTCCTGTGACGAATAAAAGTGAAGGGGAAAAAACCTAAGATGCCCTGCCCCTCCAGGTACAGCCTCTTGTTTGAATGGTATCCCAAAGTCGTGCCACTGAAAAGGAACAGCAAACACAGGGAATGAGAGCTCCAAGAATGGAATTTACATGGATAATTACTTAAAAAAAAACCAAACCAAAACAAAAACCCCTATACACATTTTGGTCTCAATCTTGACACCACATCTGCATTTAAGTTCTCCACTTTGGAAGCCAGAACACTATTAGCATATGGCTAATGTTCACATTTCTTGCTTAATGCTCTTTATCTAGCCAATGCAACATGCACTAAGCTCCTTCCTCTCTGGTGTTCAGCTGCTGCAGCTTGCTTTCCTTCAGCAAATCACCAGAAGTAAACTGGGAGCTGCTCAATGCTGCAAGTAATTTCATGTGTAAGAGAGAAGATGGAAGCAGCTGTGGGCACACAGACCAATACTGACATAGCAACTGAGTCTGAAGAGGACTAAAGCACACGAACTGCTAAAGATAGAATCAAGCTAGATCAAAAAAGACTCTAAAGAAAAAAAAAAATTCTACTAATTTCAATTATCAATCCTTTTCTAACCAGTACTAAATGGTTGCTTTCCTCCTTTTCTCCTTTGTCTCTATCTTTCATTAAGAAATACTTTCATCGGTGGAGATGAAAGAGATTCTATATACGTTTGTAAAATGGAGAAAGATATAAAAGAAAGACAAACAGCAACACATACTTCCACACCTATGCCACATCCCAGAATGCAGACTAGTTGATCCAGTTCCCAGCTGTTGCACAGATCCACAACGACAGCAAATAGTGAAGGAAATACTGACATTGTCACCATTAGCTGCTCTTCATGGAAAGGTGGTTCAATTCCACAAAAATAACGTATTATTGAAAATAAGAAGTCTTACCTCAGCAGAGTCTCCATTGGGTGACAACGTACAGGTCAATGTATGCTCACCCATATTATACGGATATTGCTTCAGGAAGCTGTACATTGATCTGGCTGACTTGGGACTATCCAGCTGCAGAATTGCCTAAAAGAAAAAAAGCACAAGCTTCAAATAACTGTTACTTCATCTTATTTCTGTATTGCAGAACAAGTTTAATAAATTAAGTTGGTATAGCATGGTATATCTAGTATTCCTGAAGGGTTTCAACATCTTCATTTTAAATTAGCTATAAGCACCTTTTTTTTATTAAATCCTATGTTCTTGCACATGGAGAACAGTGGACTCTTCTTTCTGAGAGGCTGAAGGAAGAAATTTCTCCTGTTTGGAATTATCTTTAGAACTAAATAAAGAACTACATCTCAAAACAGTGGAGCCTGGAGCTTCTCTACCTACATGTGTCCAACCTTCCGGCTACAGAAAAATACTGTCTTTTTCTTAAAAACATCTTCACCTGTTTTATGGTTTATTAGCAGCTGGACACTTAAAATAACTCATAACAATGGGAGCACAACTGCATTTTCATCATTAAAATATACCTGTACATACAGTGACTTAAATCTAGTTCATAAAATAAAAATCCAATGTTAAGTGCAAAACCGGCAACGTTAAAAATTAAAATATCAAAATTGAAAAAATTGAAAATCAAGTCACTACATTTTGAAGTGTCCCAAAACAAGAAGTAATTTCAGCAATTCTGACATTTTCACTTCTCATATCAGAATAAATTTTCTCCCCAAGTTTCCTACAAAATGGGAACTTATTTCCCCCCCCCTTACACCTCTACTGTCAAAGTTTAATAATTTTTCCAGCCATTTGGGAAGCTTTACTTTCAGAGCTTACCAAACTGTTCTTGTATCGTTCAGGCTAGGTAACAGCCAAAAGTTTGGTTTGGTTGGTTGGTTTTTCTTCCTTCCCCACTGTCCCCAACAAATAAGACAAACTATTTTCTTGTTCAGGATGAGTGGGAGAGAGTCAGACTTTGATCTCTCATTAGCAGAACATTCTTGGTATTGGGAGATGAAAACACTACTTTTTTTTTTTCTTTTTTTTTTTTTTCCCCTAACATGGTACTTTGCACCACAGGAAGAAAAAAAGATTTACCTTGTTTTTATTCTTCAGTACAACATAATGATCTACTTTTCCAAATCGAAGTCCCACACAAACTGCTTCAAGTTCTCTGTATCCATCATCTGGCAAGTTCCCAAGATGCACAAAGTGATTATGTATAGTTTCAGTATTTACCTGAAGAAAAGTGATGAAAAAACTTGCTTTAACTTTGTAACACACTTTATTAGCAACTACTGAACTAGGCTAGAAAAGTCTCACAGAAAGTTTCTGTATCACTCAGATCTTACCGAAAAACAGCATTCACACACATCCAATGTTCACATTTTCAGATTCACACCAGATTTTCCAGTTTTCTGTGCAGTACATCAAAAGAACCTGCTATACTTCCCGGTGAAGAATAACAAACTTAAAAGGATCAAGTTGAGTGTTTTATTTTGAATTATCTTTTTTTTTTTTTTTTTAATCTAGTAAAAGTCTCTTTGAGAACACTGCAAAATATAGCTGAAGTTTAAATAAAGTTTGGTATTTTGAAAAGCAGACACTAACTAGTCAGATTATAAATTGGTCAAGGAATAGAAACCTACGTGAAAGACTCCAATCCTGGTTTTTAAGTTGGAGTTTGGTTTACTTGATCAGTTTGTAGTAACATCCTTGGTCAAAATCATTTCTTGTGTTTCGCAATTTTCAAATGGAGTTATCACCACCACCACCACAGGCTATCAAGGAGACCAGTAAGTCTTCTCACCAAGAAGGATTTTGGTGCAGAACGTATGAGTGGGCTAACAGCAAACGGAAAGCCACCATCAGCCACGTAGTGCCAGCAGAACCATAGACTGAACCCTGGCATCAAATATTTTGTGCAGTATTAAAGGGAAGGGCCCTGGGACACAAAGTCCAAAGGTACTAGTAGAATTCCAAAATCTTAAACAAGTCTTATCTTTAAATACTTGAAAGCTGTGTGTCTCTTAGAAACGCAACACTCACTCCCAACAAGGAAGAGATTTCCACCCCCCTCCAGGCCTGGTATGTTTTTCTTCCATTATTCATGACTTTACTAGGAGCAGAAAATAAATATTCCACCACAAGGAGATCAGAAGCATAAGGAGGGTATGGCAGCAGGGGTGTTGGCAGTAAGTGCTCAGATGCATCTGTTAGTGCCAAACAATGACCATAAGGAGAAAGCAGATATCCCCCAGACACATTTGCAACTGGAAACTCAAGCCTCTTGGGGTTTCTTGGAAAGTGATTTATTGTTGGCAGGGCTCTCTGCAATACGCTTTTTAAACAAATACAATTACCTTCAGACACCGCTGTTCTTAAAGTCACTCTTGTGAAGTTATTGTGCCAACTGTTTAAGCCCAGAGACACATTCAGACCCAGTGACTGAACCCCTATCAAGAATATCCTGAAAATGTTTTTCACAGAAGCAAGACCTAAAAGCTAACCTCTGCCTACCTAAAACTGCAAAAAATCCTTTGTACGTCAACTGCCAGCTTGCACTGTGTGCAGTGAAGAAACAGGAGGGATAATAAGGGAGACACACTGAACAAAGCACAGAGGTAGTTTTGACAGTTAAATGAAAGTATCTGTCTATAAAACACGCTGGGAAAACGGGTGGCATTATATACAGGCAAACACTACATATTCTCCAAGCTATAGTGGTGAGCAGCTTGTTGTTAGAACATGAAAAAAAAGTAACAGAAGGAGAGGGTCTCAAAGGACTCCTATTAAATGTTTAATTCCTTGCACTTCACGCATCATGGAGCTAAACTGAGTGAACATTTACTCATTCTATTCCCTGCTCATTCGCCCATGAAAACATATATGAACATTTAATTCAAGAGAAAGCTTAGATAACAATTCAGTTAGCTAATATTTCAGTAAGAAGGATACTAATTCCAATTTAAAGTAATGTATTTTGATAGCATGTGGAGGAAAAGTTAAATTGCTAGCACCTTACCTTAGGGTCAGAATCTTTAATTATAGCAGTAAATATTGCTTCCTTTTAAAAAAAAAAAAAAGAAGACATTATAAGATTTGAACTGTAAAATATAGCTTCACTAGCAGCAACTAACAGGGAGTCACTGACGCACAACAACTTTTTGGTTTCTGCTTTATTAATAAAATCAACAGCATCAGCACTTCTGACATCTACATTATTCTTTTATGAGAAGACCAGGACCCAAAAAGATATTTAACAGAATCAATCCTCAATAGGACACACCATCAGAATGTATAAAACAGGCAGTGTATAAAAGTCAGCTTAAATACAAACTCCTGCTCTGTATTGAAATATTATTACATATCCTAGAATTTCAATATATTCTATTACTTACTTCATCTTTTATAGTCTTACACTGAGGTACCATGTTGATGCAGAGCTGATTTCCATCCAGTGACATTGGAAAGCAGGTGTAAAATTTAACCATGGAATCTGCAGATTTTCTATTTATTTCAAGATATGCCTTTTAAAATAAAGAAAACAATTTTTTTTTTTAAATTGTAATTTATCAAAAGCATCTCACATCAGTGCTTGCCGCACTCTACTATCACATTTGCATTTGTTAAAAACACATTTGCTGCTTCTCTAGGTAGAAACATTACTAAATATCAATTAGAATACCTTTTTATGAGATGATAAAATTAGCACATCCCTCAGTCCTCCAAATGGCTTTGCTAGGTTGGAAACTTCCTCAACAGAATATCCTTTCTCAGGCAAGTTTGAAATAAGAACCACACATACATCATCAAGTTCCTGTAACCAAATGAAAGTAAGTATCACTGATATTTCTTCAACTCTAAATCAAAGCTGCTATATTACTGAAGGGAGCATTTATTTTTACTATGTAAAACCACCATTAAACTGAATGAAGCATTTGCTTAAAAGCATGTTATAATGCTTGTAATTAAGTCAAAACCAAAGACCACTTAAGCCTTTTTAGGATTTAGTAGCAAAGCATATTAAACAATTTTTTTAACCCTTTTCTTTAATTATGTCATGTAATCACCTTAATTACTGCTTAATTGTGGATGTATCTACATCTAAGCTAATTCTGCACAAACCTTAGGTTGTCTCATGCTACATCATCAAAAATTCAAACCAAACCAAAACCTCCTATAATTATGTCACTACTTTATATCCATGACATGCCCACACATCAAATACTGCAGGACTGTATGTGCAAATCTAAAGAGAAGACACTCACAGTAGGGCAATATAGATGGTCAGAGCATAAAGAAGCTTTGGTGTAACTAACAAACTCAGAGGAAAAAATAAAAAGCCAAAGAGTGAAATGGTAGATGTCTAGCAAATCACAAACAACAAGGAGAAAATAAACTATTCACTATTTCTCACAAGAAATTAACAGGCAGGGGATTTCAATCAGAAGTTTTCAGACAGCACACCAACACTTGGAAATGGCACCAAGTCTGTACTTAAAACTTCCAGAGATTCAAGCACCTTTAGACTGACCTTGCTAGCTGGTTCTGTTGGCTCCTCACTCTTTGTAGTCACTATCGTTGCTTCTAAAAAAAAAGGGGTGGGGTAGTTTAGTAGTTCCACAGAGTTCTTTAAATACTGCAGAGCTTTAAGAACTTCTTGCATTACATTTTATCACCACTGTCATCGTGAAAAATAAAATATTCCTTTATTTAACTTACAGCAACAAATGACATTGCTGAGACACATATAGTGTTATATAAAAGACTTCCAGAAAGAACCGCTTTAAGTAGGCATAAAAAACATAATTAAAATCCCTTAATTAACATGCAAACACTTTGCTGACATTAAGGCCTTATCAGCTGAATAATCACAACCACAAGACTTTCTTGTGGGCACACTTGGGACTATGTAGGTGCCTGTGTCCACACAATCTTTCTTTTTTCTTCTTTTTCCTGGGAAAAGTCCACAGTGATATCCGAGAGGCTCAGAAAAATAGAGCAGCAAACAGGAAAACAGCAATCATACAGGATAGGCAAGCGCAGGTAAAGGAGAATCACTTTTACTGTCAAATGTTTATATCTATCAGGTTCAGCAACTACAACCTTGCCGTACCTCTACTATCATATGCATAGTAACTGAGAATTAATATACACTTACGCTATGTTTAAAACAAAGTCTGTTATTAATCAGTCTGTTACTAATACAGCTGTATCAAGTCCATGGGGCCTGATGGGATTCATCCCAGAGTTCTGAAGCAGCTTGCGGATGTTATGGCAGGACCCCTCCCGATCATCTACCAAACGTCTTGGGAGTCTGGGGAGGTCCCTGTTGACTGGAAGCGAGCCAGTGTTATTCCAATCTACAAGAAGGGCGTGAGGGAAGACCCAAGGAACTACAGACCTGTGAGTCTAACCTCAGTTCCTGGAAAAATTATGGAGAAGATTATACTGCGTACTATTGAAAGGTATTTAAAGAATAATGCAATCATCAGGCACGTGGGTTCACAAAGGGAAAGTCCTGTTTAACCAATTGGATATCCTTCTAGGATAAGGTCACCCACCCAGGGGATGAAGGGAAGGCAGTGGATGTAGTTTTTCTGGATTTTAGTTACAAAATATGGGGAAAATAGCATCAATTGAACAAGCTCTAGCAGGCAATGTAAAGCATTGAGATTAAAAGAATTAGTGGTGGAGCTGTAAAGAGAACATACAGAAAGCCTGAATCCTTTGCTCTAATGAGCTGCAAATAAAAGTCCTCATGTCACTGAAAATGTCTAGTTAAAAATATTATGTCCGCTGAAAGAGGTGAATCTTGGGTGGTTTTAGCCACTTCAGTCATCACGATGAACTATTGTTTTATCTCTCAGTCAGTGAACCTATTTTAACAGATTTTCTTTTCTGATATCCTGTGTCATCTTAATTTCCTGGCCTCAAAAGCATTCTCATTTAGGTCACAATAGCAGACAGGTTTAGGACAGAAATGAGAAAATCCCTGTCAGTTTGCAATTTACCTTGATCAATTAAAGCTTCATTAAACTTATCCAAGTCCAACACCGCCACCTGAGGCATCTGTGCAAGTCTCTCTAAAAAATAAATACATTCAAGAAGACATTACAATGTTAAACTTCACGTAACTTACAACTAGCAAAGTAACTTAAAAATGACATTATCGTATCAGAATTACCTAGTAGAGGTGCAGGATTAGTCACTCCTTTGGATTGAGTCTCTACCGTCTTCACAGGTTCTGTAACTCTGATCCCTTCTGTAATGTTCTTTGGGTCCGACAGCTTAGTCTCCCCAACTTCCATTTCGGCTTCTGCTGAGATCTGAAGGTCTTCATCTATAGATTTTGCTGGTGGGTAACAGCAGAAAAAAAGCATTCTTCATTTCCATATATTAAACTAATCGATTTGCAAAAGAAGAATACTACACTATAATTTTTTTCTCCCAGACATTTGGAGGCCTCCTATCACATAAATTCCTGCTCCTCGTTACAAATGAACAGAAAATGTACATGCAGGAAAAGCTTTGCAAAACAAGTGTATACCTGTGGTCACGTGAAAGGGTCTGCTTCCCCAGACTCACCTCCCTTCCCTGGTTCTTTGCTATTCTAGATCTACAAAGAGCACTAATTATCACTGCCAAGTCACAAGGAGCAAGAAGGGTGTTTGACTACCTAAAAATCTACTTACATTGGCAAGCCCAGTAAAAGGTATAAAAACCTTGGACTCACTACCATAAATACCGGTTCTGGAAAGAGGATGGGAGAGTAGGGGCATGAAAAAGCACCTGCCTGTGTTTTCCAAGTAAAAAGTAAAAGTTCTCATTCATCTTACCCGCAGTATTTGAAGTTTTCTTGATTTTACTATCTCCTGTCATTGTCGATTTCTTAGTCCTTTCTTTTTTACCTACGTAAAATATCCAAAACCAAGTAAGTCAGTAGAAACGCTTATTTCTTAAGTCTTACATTTGTGAACTAAAAGTATAAAAATAGATACAAAAATAGTTTAATCTGCAAAAATTCAACTGATATGACAAAAAAAACCCAAAACCTAAAACATAAGTTAATTCCAACAAACTACTGAATGAAAGCCATGAAGTAGAGTATCTTATGTGAATTTGTTGAGGATTTTGGTGACAAAACCTTGCTCCTACAAAAAAGTTTGTGTTCTCTTTCTCTTAAATGACTGTAGAAAATTCACGGTTTCCATCTGCAAGACAGCTCTGAAACGCACTGTTACATGAATCTTAATTCCATTCTGGAAACTGGATTCAGAAGTGACCATGCTGACGAATGAATCAAGACCAACATCTTTAAAAAGCATCATTTCCTATCAAAATAATGTCTGGTCCCTAACTTTGCTCAGAAAAACTGCTCACGAAAGCCAATAAAACAAGCCACAAAAAATGATATGGCTGGTATTTTCCAAGTGTTAATAATAAAAAAT